TTTCCCTATCTTCTCTCCTTTTCTTATTTATTATGTTTTGTCAGGGAAAAAAATTATTTTTTCTTTTATAGCAGCAAAATATTCTGCTATAAGCATACTTATACAATTAATATTCGTTATGTTATCTACTATTATAATTATTTTCTTACACATTCATCACATATATACACACTTATACATCACATTTCATGTACATTCATTATTTTCACACCTTTTATAAAACTATCTAATGTCACCGTGTGTGGTCGTAGCCGCCAAAAACCAGAAGAAGATTTTTGTCCAAAAAAAAACTGAAATTATTTAAATATATTGTTGGAGTCTTTTGAAAAGCGACGCTGATCGAACGCGTTTTGATTTATAATTGGCCGTCGTATTTATATGCCGAAAAGAGTTGTTGTTTTTCGTAATTTAAAGGGGAAAATAAAAGGAAAGAGATATTAATATATTTTACAATTTATCAGCAATGGAGTAGCGTGGAAAACATGTCACTTCAGTCCACACCATGCAATCAATTGGCAATTTGATCTCTAGCTGACCACATATTACATATGTATGTATGTATGTATGTATGTATGTATGTATGTATGTATGTATGTATGTATGTATGTATGTATGTATGCATGCATGTATGTATGTATGTATATGTGTGTGTTGTGTGTAAACATGATGACATGTGCTAAATGTGATGCATAGATATCTACCAATTCATAAAATAAAATAAAAAAGTTAATATAAACACATAAAACTTTAATGATATTATCAAAAACGTTTAAATATAATGAATTTTTACTGTCTCTTTTGAATTGTAAATATTTTAACCATTACTATAAATTTTCTAACAATAATTTAATATCATCAGTATCTCATAGAAATCTGATTAACAAAATTTAAAAATTCATACATTTATTAAAAAAATTATAAAAAATCAGTGTATTTTCATAAAGATATGCATGAATCTCTGAATTTTATATTTTAAAAAGAATGAGGTTAAATAACGAGAATATGATAATATTTTTAAAATTTGTATAGAAGTTTAGAATTCATATATTTATTTATTTTATGGGATTTAATGTACCGAATTTGGATTGGGTTCGTATTAATATGTCGGCCCAAACGTTTCCAAGCCCATGTCCAATATTAGCCCAACCCAATAAAGAAAGCCACTCATCCATAATTAACGGCGTCCGTTGAGTTCGAGTATGTGGCGTAGCACGAACCCGCAAAAAAAAAAAAAACCCAAAAAAAAAAAAAAAAAAAAAAAAAAAAAAACCCATGTAATATTTGATTAGTATTAAAAAAAAGGTAAAACGACGTAGCCTCTGATTGTATATGGGCATGATTAGGATTTAAATTAGGATTTGGGGCGAGAAATTTTCAGTGCTTGATTTCTTTGTAATTGTCAAATTGATTCAATGTCGTGAAATGTAAATGGTACACTTCATGGTCTATATTCCGGTAGAATCTCTATGCTGTTTTCTTTATTTTTTTTATATATTTAACTCCATGGTCCATATACTTTCAGTTATATTGTTGTGTATTGGTTTGGTTATGGGTCTGGCATTTTGTCCAGTTATTCCCGGTATACCATACCAGTGGGTGGGACCATATTTATTCTCTATTGGACTCGGTTCGATAGATGTTTAGGTAATTTGATTGAAACCGAATCTTTGACGTCCGTGTGACTTTACCCGCATTTTAAAGGTTTTGCAGCGCTAAAATTTCGCCTCTGTTTGTTGTAATTCCTGTCTAAACCGGTTTGGGTAACCAACCTTGTGCATGTAACCTCTGGTTCGAGTATCCCTTACCGGCTTGTACGATGGTTCAATAAAACCGGAACTCCAAATTATTAGACTAATTCAGGTTCTGGTGATTCCAGCTTATTCCCGGTTGGACCAAATAAATACATCTTCTGAAAGAAAACCGGACGGTTCGGCACATTTTCCAGTGCCACCATGTTGTGTTCGATCTGGTATTTTATTACGTATATAATAATAATATTTTCTTAGATTTTTGTTATAAAGAATATTCTTATAACCTATCGAAATTCGATCCTATCTGTGTCCGGCTGTATACGTGGATTGCGGATTCCTCCGACGATATTGTCATTTGTTTCTAATTGTAGTATTTATATATTTTCAATTATGCAAAGTCATATGGGCCAACTTTATAATATATATATATACACACACACACGTTGATATCTCAAATTGAAAACAATGGCAGTCTGTCGTCTTGTCATCTATACATGAATCGTGGTTACAAAATTTCCACCAAATAATGGGAAGTTGAGAAACCACGAAGAATGGTCATAAAAACCAATAGTTGGTGGTCCAATAGTTGAAAGGTGACAAAATTATCATTAAGGTTTTATGTGTAGAAAAATAAAATAAGACAAATAGAAAAAAACATAATTACTTTTATTGTTTCATCTCTTCTTCTGGTTACGTTACAATGAAAATGAAAAACATATTTATAGAAAAATTAAGAAATGGAATAAAAAGGTTTTATGTTCGATTTTATTTGTAGAAAAGAGGAGACACAATTAATTATGTATTGTGTGATTAAAGGTTGACTCCGGATTCAGAGAATTAAGTGAATCGAAAAACTAGTAACCTTGGTTGTTATAAAAAAATGGTTATAAAAGAGATTATATTATGTTAGATGAAGTTATTTTAAATAATGGAAAATCTCCTGTACGCCCAATGGGTAGGCTGCTGACATTGTCGGAATTAATTTTTAAAAATTTCGGCATCATGCAATTGGATACGACATTTTCATGCATACGGATACTTACATACACAAAAAAAAAACATACTTCAAATGATTTCACAACGCTTTTACATTATGTATTAGATAATCGATGTGATAATTTACAGTACATATATGGGAATTCTTCTTCCGACAATCCAATGTTGTTATTCTGATTTATTTGTAAAGAATGTTAACATGTTTTAATTATTATTATATATATACGTGTGTGTGTGTGTATATATATATTAATTGTTATTTTTTTTTGTTAACTGTAAACTTTTGTAATTTTTTGAAAAGGTTTATAAAGTTTATATTAATTGTTATTAGATTTGTCCCCCTCGTATTATTTCGCCGTCCTTACAATTGGGGTGTATATATTTTATAATTAAGGTTGATGAGTATATATTTTATAATCAAGGTTAATGATCTCATCAATAAGTTGACTTTTTAACATTAGGACAAAGAATCTTTTTTGTCTTTTTTAATCCCCAACAGGATAATTACACGTCATCTTAATTTTTCTATGCCGTTTGACATTTTCAGTATGCCTCACCTCCATAATATAAACTATGGATGGTTTGCCGCTTGCTGACGCAATTCCGTAGAGTACGGAAATTTCAAACGTACACACACGTAGATCCGTACATAAATTTGTGTTCTTCTTTCTTCTGCACATAAGTTCCCTATGACACGATATTTCACACATTTTTTGAAATTCTAAAATCTTTTTAGTACAACCAATAATAATTAAAAAAATTTATCTTGACCGGCTGTACCGATCGAGGTGTATTTGTATAAATGATTTTCCACATTTATTTTAAAATATATAATGAAAAGTAGAAGATATAGCTGTGTAGAAGCACACACTACCGTATACAATCTTTTGGGCGATATATATATATATATATATATGAGGTGTCGACATATATGAACGAATGGTTCGATTGATAACCATACGTCACCCTCCTGAAATTATATGCATTTAATTAATGATGGCTAATTTACATTATTCTAATCACTGGAGGTTTTGGTTTGAAAAGGTATATACCAAAGCCATATATTAAACTTAATGAAGTCTTAAGGAATCGTTAGGGATTGGAAGAGACGCCTAATAAATATCCAGCTAAGCCACACTAGAATTCGACCGCTCACGATATAATAACGATCAACTGATGGCAATATAATATTCTTTGTACCGTTGATTCCGTACAATGGAGGGATTTCCTGCAATGCCCCTTCATCCACTTATCAATATAGAATGGAATTGATAGCTCTTATATATAGCTTCAAATATAAAAAAATTGATTACATCATCGTCGTCTATATCTAAAACATATTTTGGACATGAATGTTAAAGTTTATGACTAAGATTGTGAAATAGTTGAAAATATAAACGAGCTGTCACCTTATCATTAACCACTGATTGATATATCGGAAAAGAAAATCTGTAAACAAAGATAGAATGTCAAGATTTAGAAAGAGAAAATTGCGAACATTTTTTCATTCAAAACAAATAATATATATATATATATATATATATCCTATATATTTCGATTGCAAAACGTTATCATATGTTGTTAGTTTTTTATTGGTAGGGTAAAATCGTAATTAGGCAGGCGGCAGAGCCAACCTTTCGGACAAGCGAGAGATTCATAGTCGAGTGTAGATGCGCGCGGCGAAAATGGATTCCCACTAGCAAATACTTGAATGTCAGTTAACCATTGAGAATCTCCATCGGCTCTTTCAAAATGTCAACGTTACAACTTAGAAACCCTATATATACCCCTCGATCGTGCCCCGGCTTGGAAAAAAAGAACAAAACATAACCTAAACTCCAACCCCCGAAACCAAGAATTCAAGTGCTGTAATTTCTTGAGATCTAAAAAAAAAAGATTTCAAGAAATGGGTGACTCGGTTGATGAACCAGGAAGCTCCATGCATGGAGTCACCGGAAAAGAGCAGTCCTTCGCCTTCTCGGTGGCTTCGCCGGCCGTCCCTACCGACACAACCGCGAAGTTCGACTTGCCGGTGGATTCAGAACACAAAGCGAAAGTGTTCAAGCTCTTCTCCTTCGCAAACCCGCACATGAGGACGTTCCACCTCTCGTGGATATCCTTCTCCACTTGCTTCGTCTCCACCTTCGCCGCCGCCCCTCTCGTCCCGATCATCCGTGAGAATCTGAACCTGACGAAACAAGACATCGGAAACGCAGGCGTGGCGTCCGTGTCGGGAAGTATCTTCTCGAGGCTGGTGATGGGAGCCGTTTGCGACCTCCTCGGACCGAGGTACGGCTGCGCTTTTCTCGTGATGCTGTCGGCTCCTACGGTGTTCTCGATGAGCTTTGTTTCCGGGGCAGGAGGCTACATAACCGTGAGGTTCATGATCGGGTTCTGCCTGGCGACGTTCGTGTCGTGTCAGTATTGGATGAGCACGATGTTCAACAGTCAGATCATCGGACTTGTGAACGGGACGGCGGCCGGGTGGGGGAACATGGGAGGGGGAGTGACTCAGCTTCTGATGCCGGTCGTTTACGAGATCATCAAGAGTTGCGGTTCCACCCCTTTCACGGCGTGGAGGATCGCTTTCTTCGTCCCGGGATGGCTTCACATCATCATGGGCATCTTGGTTCTCGCGTTAGGTCAAGATCTGCCGGACGGAAACCGCAGTGTCTTGGAGAAGAAAGGAAACGTCACCAAGGACAAATTCTCAAAGGTATGTGACCTAAAACTATTATTTTTACGGTCTTATTGTAATCAGTTTTCATGATTATAATTATTTCAATGCGTGGTTATATATATACAGATTATGTGGTACGCGGTTACAAACTACAGAACATGGATCTTCGTTCTTCTCTACGGATACTCCATGGGAGTTGAGTTGACCACAGATAACGTCATCGCTGAGTACTTCTTTGACAGGTTTGTTCAGCTTCCTCATCCAATCATTCTAAATATACATGTTGTTTATTATGTATCATCTATACATACATACATACATACATACATACATACATACATACATACATACATACATACATACATACATACATACATACATACATACATACATACATACATACATACATACATACATACATACATACATACATACATACATACATACATACATACATACATACATACATACATACATACATACATACATACATACATACATACATACATATGTGTGTGTGTGTGTGTGATAACATGTGTGTAAACCAAAATTTAGTATTTGAAACAAACTGGATTCTGATCGATAACCTTGATTGAAATCACATAATTAATGTTCACCCTCATGAAATAGTCATCATGTTATTAGAACCGAAATCAATATTTCACGGCCCAAACGATCTACTCCAAGAATCTCATAATGTATTTTAAATTGCATTAATTTGTCAGATCTATCTATCGTGTTTCTTATAAACATGACGTGTCCGAAACATGTTCTTCTTTCGGGTGTATGTATTACTTCAACATGAAAACGAAAATACATTCTTGTGTGCAGATTCCACTTGAAGCTCCACACGGCAGGAATCATAGCCGCAACATTTGGAATGGCGAATTTCTTTGCCCGACCCTTGGGCGGCTACTTCTCCGACATTGCAGCCCGGTACTTCGGCATGCGAGGCCGTCTATGGACACTGTGGATCATCCAGACAGCCGGAGGCCTCTTCTGTGTGTGGCTAGGACGAGCCAACAAGCTAGTCCCAGCCATCGTGTCCATGATCTTCTTCTCGCTAGGCGCACAAGCCGCCTGTGGAGCCACCTTCGCCATCGTCCCCTTCATCTCCCGTCGTGCCCTAGGCATCATCTCCGGCCTGACCGGTGCCGGCGGCAACTTCGGCTCGGGCCTGACCCAGCTCGTCTTCTTCTCCACGTCGAGGTTCTCGACCGAAGAAGGGCTGACGTGGATGGGGGTGCTGATCGTTGCTTGCACTCTGCCTGTAGCTTTAGTGCATTTCCCTCAATGGGGAAGCATGTTCCTTCCGGCTTCTTCGGATCCCGTGAAAGGTACAGAGGAATATTACTACGTTGCCGAGTGGACGGAGAAGGAGAAGGAGAAGAATATGCACCAAGGAAGCCTCAGGTTCGCCGAGAACTGCCGGTCCGAGCGTGGCCCGCGTGTCGGAAACGCGGTTACACCGCCGGAAGGTACGCCTAACAACGTGTGACGAATCGAGGGCGTAAACCGGTTTGGTTCGAGAAATCTAATTATGTCGGTTATGTGAAACCAAATCAAACCGGTGAAAAATAATCACCAAGCACCCTTTGTTTCTCCTTCTTGTGATTGTTCGTTAACTCCGTGTGATTTCTTGCTTTGCTTTTGTATTTCTCTACCTGTTTCCGTTTGTAATGTATCCCACGGCCTCGGGTCTTAAAAGTTCCATAACTTGGTTTTCGACGGCGTACGTTCATCGAATAAATATGATTTCGTACGCCAAAAAAAATGCGAGGGGGATTTTCGATAAGAGAATTGTACATAAATTCCATGTGGGAATCCGTTTAACTGTTAATTAGGTCAACAAAACATGTATTATAGCACACGTAAGGTTTGAATTTTATCCTTACGTAGGAATTTGTAGATTAATTCAGATAAATAGTTTAAAAACAGATCAACAAGTACCGAAAAACATTATAAAAAATAAGTACCCAAAAAAAAAGAGAAAGAGAAACGCAAGGGATTAAAAAGGCATGGGGTCGGGGTCATACAGCAAGCAGATAGTCAAAGCCGAATAAACCCTTTCTGACATAAGATCCGTTTGCCGGCTTCCTGGTTTCTTGGAAGCCCACGAAACTGATTGTCCTAAACGAAGTGATAGAAATCTAATCTTGTCCTTACTCCATTTTCATTCATATTACCACATACGTTGATACACATATGATCAATGAAGACGTGTTATCATTTTCAGTTCGAAATTACTGTGTTTATAAATGTCTTATGTATTATTCATGTGTAATAACTTTATGATATTTATAGATATTTTAAATATAAAATAAAAAACATAAATTTTAATATAAATATTTTAAAAATAGAATATTAAATAATATTATCCAAATCTTCTGTGATACATCCCTTCAAGATTAATGAGATGAGATGAGAATCAACGGTTTCACATTGAAACTCCAAAGAAGTCAATTGGATTTGGGCTTTCAAATAATGGAGAAAAACAATTCCTCAGACGATAAATGGAGTTGTGATATGACGTCTTGTAGGAAAGAAATTTCCATTAAAAAAAACACGAAGTGGGGTTGGAATAATAATAAAAAAAATCATCAGAAAATAGTGTTGGAATAAAAAAAATTATTGTCGGAACAAAAGGTTGGGATGATATTAATCAGGTCAGAAAATATGTTCATGATGAAACGATACTCAGAAAAAAATACACATAAATACAGTTATATATAATTTTTTTAGACAAAAGCCAATTAATTGTTATACTCGGATAAAAAATAGTAGAGTTGGATTTCTTTTTTTCTTTTTTTCTTTTTTTGATAAGTCGGGATTTCTTCTAAAATTAGAGTTGGATTTCTTCTAATTAAAAGAACTGAAAAGTGGGGAACTTTGGAGATACGCAAGTGTTAAATTCAAAGAAATCCGGCTTGATTTTGACTAATGAATGGAGTCATATATTGACTGTATTGTTTAATTTAAGAAATTAATAAAAGGATTATTATTGATCTGAATATTTTGGAATCATCAACTCTATATTGGCGTTCATGAGGATCTTTATCCATATGGCGTTGTCCGATTTAACGATAATGATATCTAAAATCAGCTCTCTACTTTGATGTTAACGGGATGATCTTCCTCCACTGAGTGTGTGTGTATATAATAAAAAGAGTCTAAACAATCATATGGGTTGAATACTCAAAAGTTGTCACGATAACTTAATCTCAAGGTGGAGTTGCCTCCGGTCCGAAAACAGTCTTTGTGTATGGATCATATAAACCCAGAAATTACCTTCCTCACCACCAGTTAGGAATCGAACACTCAATCAAAAGGTGGAGTTGCCTCCTACCCCAAATTTGACCACTCGTCCACGATTTGTTGGTTGCAAACACATAAGTTATTCGGCATATTGAAGACAATATGCAGCTCAAAGTCAACGAGCTAATTTATAACTAATAACGATTCAACATAAATAAATGTCATGATAAAATTATCCAACGTGAGATCCCATGCACATGCAAGAGTACAAGATTCGGGGATGTGTACGATTTTTTTTTTGGTGTTCCCTTCCATTTCTTATTTTTTTTCAATTCAAATATTTGACAAAAAGGAGGGAAGAAATGTCACAAATGCACTCCGAGACTTGATTGCAATATCAGAAACTCACGGACATCCCAGGATGTTCTGATCAAGATTCAATATCATATGATCTTTCTTCTTTCCTCACGAAAATAAAACAAAAAAATTAATAAAAAACCTAATTTTTTCGCCAGCTATTATGGCACTGTTCGTTTTGTTTCCACGAGGCAGTGGTGATCACGAGCCCATTTATTTACCCTAAATCTGTCTCCGCCTATAATTTCTCTACATATATATGGATTCCACAAAACCCTTTCAAACCCATATTCTCAAATTAAAAATAGAATGGGAAACAAAAATCCAATGTTCCCTAAAACTTGCTGTACTCTCATGTTCATCGTTTTATATCTTGATCCTCTGTGGTCCGAAGTCGGAGTTGTGGCCGCGGGTCGGTCAATCCCACTAGAGAGCGTGCCGAGCACGTTGGTGACGCCATTAACGATCGATAACAAGGTAAAATTGAATCCGGGCCGTCAGATTTTCGACGCGGGAGAAGTAAAGAGTTGTATGCCAAAGGGGTTTAGGCCAAGATCGGCACCGAGCCGGTTCGTGAATTATAAGCCTCTTGTTTCTGCTAGGTGTTCTTCCATCGGTATCTTCCGGTCCAAGAAATCTCCTTGATTTCGTTTGTTTTTGTTAGGATCAAAAATGAAAAATTATTAGTTTTTGAATTTTTTGGTATGGTTTTTTGATATATTGTACATGCGCGTCTACTCCTTCTTTTCTCTTGTTTAAGGAATCACTAAAAATCATAATAACGAGATCGGATGATATTAATGCAAAATAAGAAAACGTATTTCTCTCTTTCACACACACGCATATATATATAATTAATGAATTATTTTCAATAAAATTATTAGTAGAGAGTGGTTAAATCACATTATTTTTTTTAATGTATACGAAGTTCGACTTCGATTTTAGGGTTTATGGATTAAAAACTAACCAAATAAATTTAGTTTACAGAAAAAATTAATAGTTTACAGAAGTATTATAGTAATACATAGCTTATTAGGTGGGAAATATGATTTTTGGATTGCATATTCATATCATATTTATTACGACAATTAATATACGCTCTCCATATTTGGAGACCCTCCTGGACCAACGGAATGGACGCTTCCCATCACGTGATTTGCCACTCCTTACGCCCATCGAAGTAAAAGGAAAAGGAAAGCAGTAAATGCTTCGGATAATGTAAATAAAAGCATATTTTGCAGCCAATGAGGCTTAATTTGGAATTTGGGATCATATATACACATACATATATATATATATACGGTATTTTCACAATGTTCAAATTTTATACCAGTTTGAATAAGATTATACGGTAAAATTCTATTTTGTAAAATCGAACGGTAATACCCTTTCCAAAAGCCACGTGGCAACCAAATAGACTGAGCCATCGTCCGCTTTTTTGGGCCTGAAGCCCATACACTGAAAATCAAACAACCAAAGTGGCCCACAAATCAAAGCCCATACACTGAAAATCAAATAACGTTGACAGAAAAAAAAATGCTTTTATAAAATAAAGTGGAATAGGTCTATGAATTTATTGCATTTATTTACCTCTTAAGATCCTTTTGTGCCACGGCAATTTCGAAAATTGGACCACCTCAAACCACACATATATCATTTCCTTTGTTGGGACAAATGTTTCATTGGTCGATATATAAAAATTTGATTTGACAAATATCACTTATGTCATTTTTGCTGCTCACTCCCTTAGTGAATTTGGCCACCCACCTTCTAAAATTTTAGATAATACTTTAAATATCACACGTCATTCGACGATCGACATCTCTTCTTACAATATATTTGAGTTTTATAATACCAGCCTTCTGAAATTTTCTATAAATCTATCATATTTTTTTTATAAGATTTGAATCCATATTCATGAAAATTAATAAAAAAAAATAAACATGACAACCATATATTTTTTTTATAAGATTCATTAGTCAATTGGTATGACTTTTTATCGTCAGTATTATCACAAGAAAATATAAATTTTTATGTACCAAAATTTTGAACTATTGAAAGAGATTCTAGAATTAAAAAAATATAATATAGAAATTTTTTACCACATAGTACATACATATATATATATATTATATTTGAAATATAGATGAAAGATATAGTACTATCCATAATAAGAGAGAAATATAATAATTCAAGAGAAGCGTGACATACATGTTACTTGTTGAAATTTTGGAAACATTTCAATGTTATATCTCGACATAAAGATACACGTATCTTTTATTACAGGAAACTTCGCTAAAAATAAAAGGAGGAAATTGTGTTATTGAAGGAGAAAACTATATTAAAAATAATTTGATTTTAAACTATTAAAAAATAATAACTAGATATTAAATAATATTAGAAAATTTAAGGTACTACGATATATAACAAAAACAATTTGCTATTAAAATACTCCACTTCATTTTAATTATTAAAACGAGTTTAATCTATGTTTAAGATATAATTCAAATGATTTGTATTTTTAAATTTTAATATAACAATTTTTTGTAGTTTTTGTCCATGAGTTTTTTATTAAATTTGTGATTTCATATGTGTTTTTTTTGTTTTAATTTAGAGATTTTTCTTGAAGAAATCAAAGTTATTGGGAAGTCTCTACTGTGACTGTCATCTTTCTGTCTCTTCTTTGCGCTTTGTTCTTACTCCGAAATTGCATTTAATGCAGAAGAAGCGCCAAATCTCTCTCCCACTCTCCGCGAGTCTCTCTTCTTCTCCTTCTCCTCGCGTTGGTCCTCTCTCTCTCTCTCTACTGTATCATCTCTCTGGTTCTTCCTCTCTCCACATCTCTCACTCCGACGTTCATTCACGAAACTCCGATCGGGTCTCCGGCGCATTTTATCCTTCTTTCCGCTGGAATTCTTCGTTTAACCCTGTTTTGCCTTTGTTCCAGTTCCTTGAAGAGGCGTGGTATTAGATCTGATTCATTTTTTTCAAACGGAATGTTCTACGGCTCATGCTATTTTTGGGAATTCGTCTGAAATTCGGCGAGTGATACACTGCTTTGAAGGCTTGAAGTAATTAGGGTTTTGTGGGTTTGGAGATGGAGGGGAGGATGAAGAAGTACAAGCAACAAGTGAGCCCCGAGAGAGCTAAGGTTTGGAGGGAGAAATCGCCGAAGTATCAGCAGAAGATTAAGAAGGTTGCCGTTGTCTATTACCTCTCCAGGAATCGTCAGCTTGAGCATCCCCATTTCATGGAGGTCCCGCTTTCTTCACCGGATGGTTTGTACCTCAGAGGTAAAACAGAAAGCCATCAGTCAAACAAAAAAGGTTTTGATTGGTGGGGTTTTGAACAATCTATGTTTTTTGGCAGATGTGATTGAGAGGCTGAATGTTCTTAGAGGCAGAGGCATGGCTTCCGTGTATTCTTGGTCCAGCAAGAGGTGGTTTTCTTTCTCGTTCTCTTGTCTGTTTGGTTGCTGAGAAACTGGGGAATTTAGCATTTACTAGTTAGGTTTTGAATGGAGCGTCAACAGTTGTGGAAGTTATGGAAATGATTGTTTGGTTGAATGCAGAAACTACAGGAATGGGTTTGTTTGGCATGACTTATCAGAAGATGATTTGATTCTGCCAGCTCATGGGAATGAATATGTTCTCAAAGGCTCTGAACTTCTCGACGATTCAGGTGAAAAATCCCATCTTTTGTTCTGTATTTTAGATAGGGAATCTGGGTTTTCTGATGGAACTAGAAAATTGAGGCTGAAGAGTTGTGCTTACAGATCGATTTGGTCATATTGTGAGTTCGAGGACACAGAATCTTAAGCAGTTGCCTGAGCCACCGTCTTCCAGAAGCCTGGATGATTCCTCGTCAGCTTCGAGTATGAACGGAAAAGGGACTAAGCATTCTCAGGAAGATGACCTTTCTCCCACTGCTCTGCCTTCTTGTTACTCGGCTGTATCACCCGACTCTAGGAATGAGAAGAATTCCTTTTGGGGTGGCACGTTGTGTTTGACGGAGTACAAGGTGTATAAAAGCGAAGGCCTTGCAGACGCTTCTACCCAAACCGATGAAAACGTGAGCAGGTCTAAAAGCACAGAGACCTGCAGCAGAGGTGTTTCCACTGATGACGGGTCATTAGGACATGAATCCAGTGACGAACTTCATGATGAGAATCCATGTCCTAGTGACACTCCATGTCCCGATGACTGCCCCGATATTTGCAGAAATTCTGTGTCTCCACCTTCTTCCAACAGCGCCTCGTCTCTGGGTGGGAATACCGAGACTTTGGAGTCACTGATAAGAGCAGATGCAAGCAAGATGAATAGTTTCAGGATTCTCGAACAAGAAGACGTTCGAATGCCTGCCAATGCAAGGCTTAAGGCCACCACTATGCTGATGCAATTGATATCATGTGGGTCGATAGCAGTAAAGGACAACAGTTTTGGAATTGTCCCAACTTACAAGCCAAAATTTGGTCGATCAAAGTTCCCTTCTCCTTTTTTCTCCACATCGTTTATGCTGGGAGAGCTCGATTGTTTGTCAGAAAATCCGAGAATAATGGGTCTGAGATCGGAAG